ATTAGTTCTAATGGCATGGTATTGAGTGAAGTTGGGTATCTGATAGTATTTTACTTGACCCTCACTATTCAGCCATGTTTCCGAGATAAAAAGCATATCCACATCCCCTATTTGCTCAATAATTGTTTGGATTTCTTCAAACTTGCTTATGGATACCATGCTTCTTGCATTCAGGTGGGCACACTTTAGGATATTTCCTTGACTAGATAATAGTTTATATTCTTCAATGTTATCACAGTATGTTGTTTTAGGAACTATATCACTTGCATGACTAGAATCTGTTGTATTGTCCATTTGAGACTAGAGATGATGCTCCGTTAGACTATGTGTCGAGGAGGACACTTAGGCTATATCAAGCTTCTCAATGAAGTCTTGGTATTCTTGTTCAGAGCTGATATAGGTTGGAGGGTCAGCTTTTTTTTCTTCACAAGTATCTTACAGTCTCTCACATAAGTGACTTCAATTTCCTCATTGTGTTTGAGATCCCTACATTTTTTTGCTGAGCTGTCCATTTCTGGAGTAAGATGATCATCCAGGTAGATTTTAGTTTGGGGTCCCGAGTAGCCAATATCACTAGTGAGAAGAGTCCTCTTTTTCATCTTCCCAAATGCTTGGTTAGCATTCACAAATTGTTCCTTCTTCCACCTGTTTACGAGTTTAACCACAATCCCTCTAGGTCTACCTGATATGTTTTTCCTCCCCAACCTGTGTGCAGCGTCGATTTCACATGCCAGTAGGTCAACCTGCAGCGCCTGAGCAATTGAAAATAGTCTTTGGAAAATGTCTTCATTATCTTCCTCAGGTACTCCGGTGATTATTAAGTTATTTCTTCTTTGATATTGTTGGATGTTATCTATTTCTTGGGTGGAATCAGTTGAGTTGGCGGCTGACATACCTTTAATTTTGGCGTTAATGTTGGATATTTCGGTTTTAGTATCTTCATATTTCTCAGAAAAGAAGTCATAACTTTCTTTTAGGTCTTTAATGTCCTTTGACATGTGCCCAATACTTTCATCTATCTTCCTTGAGAGTTTCCCCACGAGTTCTTGGAGGTTAGGAGGGGCCACACAGTCTTCACGTCTGCACTACCATTTCTGGGTATTGTCACTGCAGAATTTTTGATATATCGCATCACTTAGGCCCATACATTCCTTATGGAAGAAGCGACGACAGTCTCCTTCACAGTTTATAGACTTTTGTGTGTTTTTTAGTTGTTTACCACAAGGAGCGCAAACGTTCGCCATGTCACCGCCTTAGTTATTATATAGGGATGTTGTATAGCTTTACGGAACCGCCGAAATCCCAGGTTTCCAACGAACTCGTACACTTAATCTTTACTCCTAAGAATACGGATGCAGTAATGAAAGTATAACACCCCCATAAGAAAGTTTTAGAGCCCTTGTGTATAGGTGGTCGGGCAGGCTTTTCATTAGGTATGTTTCGTGACGAGAACAAGCGAAAAAACTTCCCAGAACCGGTTAATACTTGAAGTCGAATGTTAAAAGATGAGTTTTAAGCACCCAAACACTAAGAATGAGGTCATAAGTCATTCAAACCAATCAAGAGAAGCGAATGTATCATTCTTCCCCAATTTAGAGGTGTCTCATTTTTCCCCGACCTGACCCTACTCAAATATGCAAAGTGACTTATATGTCGGCCCGCAGGCCCGACCAAAGGCCCCTTCAAGCCAAGCTAGGCCCGCACTCTCCCGAATGGAGTTGCCTGCGGATCGAAGTGAAACTGGCAACTTCGTTTGGCGTAAGGGCTGGCCTAGCTTGTCTGAGTGGTACGTTTTATTAATATGTACGAATTTTAGAAGTGCACATGACGTATCAGACTTATCGTGACAATCCCATAGAGATAGTGGTCGTGTGCTTAAAACAAAACTGTTGGTAACAATCAACTACATACATGTGGCCGCCCTCTAGCGTGCACAAGGACAGTTGCCGGTTTCCGGAACAGTCTATACAACTCATTCTGCGTTGCCGAAATAAATATTTATTTTACTGCATTTCATTCTCTGTTACATTGCAAGCACGCTCTCGATTTTACTTGGATTTTCCCTATTTTTAACTCCCGTACGTAAATCTGCAATCTGCAAGAATACCCTAGTTTAGGTATAGTCGGAGACCGTAAGTTAATACATGTATTTGCATTACAGTGGACGGTAGGGTTCTCTGCCCCAATGATTAAGATACAGACTGTTTGTTAATTTTACATTATAAATGACAAAGAAAATACAACTTATAGGTGAGAGGGGAGTCGCGTTCACTAAGAAAGTCGTATTTCTTGGTTCAAGAGCGAAATTCTCGTAACTGTATGGAGAGTATTTTGGACTTGATTTAAGAGCAATTTTTTCTTGTACTGAGACAGAGGCGCTTGATTCGAATGACAAATAAACTTGGACACAAGTACAGTAGACGCATAATCCAACTACGAAATGCACTTGCGTCCCAGTTTATTTCGTACTGAATTTAAGCGTTTTTGTCTCCGTCGAAGAGGAATTGCACTCAAATCAAGTGCAAAATGCTCTACATTCAAGAAAATTTTGCTCTAGAACCAAGAATACGGCATTACATAGGTCGGCAACAGCCTAGAGAGAGGACGGGGCTGGGCTCGAGACCCCTGCCTCCTTCCACTGTTAACCCCCACCACCTAACCTGCAGATCCGCTGGTGACCGGTGTTTGAATTCAAGTTTAAAAAAATATTGAACGTAATTTGACAAAATTGTTCTCGTGAACTTCAGTAACTATGGATCTTTAAAATCTACCCCACAGCACTCTCGTACACAATTTTGCATGATAAATCACAAAAACAAAGTCACGAAATGGCCCGTTCGACGCGCAATATATTTGGGGGAATCTTATGTGCGAAAACAACAAAATGTTTTCGGATAAAGTCTGGAACAAGGTTGGTAGAGGAAACAGTGATTGAGCCTTTAAGCGCGCATGTGCATACACCTGCCTGCCAACGAGCTTCTGATCAAAATTCAAAATATTAGTTTCTTTTCGCTTTCCATCGTCTAACGTCGCTTCTCTCCGTCCTGCCGGTGCGGCTCAACATTCCCCCCTCCGCCCGGTCCAGAGACCTGCATCGGGTGGGTTGTCGGGTAAGATGGGCGCGTGAGCGCACCTCGTTGTCGGGCCGTGTCCGCTCGCTCGACAAGCCAGCGCGACCCGCTCGCCCGGCCGGTAACTTTTAGTCGGGTTGTCGAGCCGCCGATGAGTGAGAGGTGAGGACGGGAGTCGGGCGAGCTAACGGCCGGCAGCGGACTGTCAACCGAGCGGAGAGTATCGAAAAGCGCCGCGAGTGCCTGCGCGCCTCCCGCGGGGCTGGGGGATGATCCTTTAATGCGCCCAGCGCGTCGCTTTTCGACTCCTCCCATCGCAAGGTGGGGGGAGACAGTTGACACCGTGCGCCCTCCCTCCGTTCGCCTGCCGTGGCCCGACAACCCTAGTGGCCCTCCTGTGAGAGGTACGCAGAGCTGGCGGCTGGTGTTCCATGGTGCTGGAGACACCCTGTGCGAGACTAGGACTAGCAGAAAGCGCGCGCCAGCTCTGCACTTGGTAATCGTTGTTAGATTTTGGCTAAAAGCGGGCGAGGTATATAATTTATGAGCTCCTGCAAGTCTCACATTTAAAATGAGCCATGTCTCGCGGCGGTGCGAAGAGAATGAGGTATGTTACGAATAAGAAGAACAGGAGGAATCCCAGCCGACGTCTGCTCCCGGACCATAACAAAGCCATGACCAAGCGCACGGTTTCTCGCGTATCTTCGCTAATACTGAAAAGAAA